AAGATTAGGATCTTCCAGTTGTGCTGCAATCACCCTTTCGATCAGGATAGGCCTCACATACAAACTAGCAAGTAATGCACCATGTTGACTCCATTCCAACTCTACCTCTTCCTTCCGTAGTTCCCCCATCAACGGAATATAAACCCCTTTAAAAAGAGCTAAACTCACATTAATACTCCTACTCAAAGCATCAGCTACTACATTAGCTCGACCGGGATGATACTCAATCGTACAGTCGTAATCCTTAATCAACTCCATCCAACGTCGTTGTCTCATATTCAACTCCTTCTGAGTGAAAATGTACTTGAGGCTCTTATGATCAGTGAAGATCTGACACGTCTCACCATACAAGTAGTGTCGCCAAATTTTGAGAGCGAACACCACTGCAGCAAGTTCCAAGTCGTGTGTAGGATAATTCTGCTCATGCTTCTTGAGTTGCCTTGAGGCATAAGCAATCACCCGATCATGCTGCATCAAAACACATCCCAAACCTTGTAATGATGCATCACTAAAGATCACAAAGTTCCCTGAATTATCTGGAAGAGCTAAAACAGGTGTGGTGGTCAACCGCTTCTTCAACTCTTGAAAACTCTGTTCGCACTCTTCAGTCCACACAAATTGAACGTCTTTCCTTGTTAACCGTGAAAGAGGTGCTGCTATCACGGAGAATCCTTCCACAAACCGACGATAATAACCTGCTAACCCCAGGAAACTCCGTACTTCTGTCACACTAGTGGGTTGCACCCAATTCACAACTGCTTCTATTTTACGTGGGTCCACATAGATTCCTTCTGCTGATATCACATGTCCAAGGAATTCCACTCTATCCAACCAAAACTGACACTTACTGAACTTGGCATACAGCTCCGTCCTTCTCAACGTCCTCAATACCGACCTCAGATGCTTCTTATGACCCTCCAAAGTTCTAGAATAAACAAGAATGTCGTCTATGAATACAATCACAAAGCGATCCAAGTAAGGTCGGAACACTCTGTTCATGAGATCCATAAACGCTGCTGGAGCATTAGTCAATCCGAAAGGCATCACCAAGAACTCATAATGGCCGTAACGAGTCCTGAATGCTGTCTTCGGAATGGAATAGACAAGGATGTCGTCTATGAATACAATCACAAAGCGATCCAAGTAAGGTCGGAACACTCTGTTCATGAGATCCATAAACGCTGCTGGAGCATTAGTCAATCCGAAAGGCATCACCAAGAACTCATAATGGCCGTAACGAGTCCTGAATGCTGTCTTCGGAACATCCTCATCTCGTACTCTGAGTTGATGGTAACCCGATCTCAGATCGATCTTAGAGAAATACTTAGCACCCTTCAATTGATCAAACAAATCATCGATTCGAGGCAAAGGATATCGGTTACGCACTGTCACCTTGTTCAATTGTCTGTAATCAATACACAGCCTCATGGTTCCATCCTTCTTCTTTACAAACAACACCGGTGCACCCCAAGAGGAAACACTAGGTCGAATAAATCCAAGATCTACCAACTCCTGCAATTGAATCTTTAACTCCCGCAACTCTGCTGGTGCCATCCTATAAGGAGCTTGATAAATTGGATTCGTGCCTGGAAGGAGTTCGATAGTGAACTCAGTTTCTCTCTCAGGAGGTAAACCAGGAAGATCATCTGGAAAGACATCTGGAAACTCACGAACAATAGGAACATCCTCCAGATTCAAAGTGATCTCGTGAGTATCAATGATGTGGGCTAAGTACCCCACACATCCCTTCTTAAGTAACCTTTTCGCGGTTATGGCAGAGATGAGACAAGACGGAAGAACTCTACGCTCTCCACAGAACATGACTTCAGGTTGTCCCGGACTTCTAAACATTACCTCCTTCCCGAAACAATCTACCGATGCACGATGCTTTTCTAACCAATCCATTCCCAAGATAATGTCAAGATCTACCAAATCCAAGGGAATCAAATTCGCATCTAACATTGCATCTCCCACTTGGACATAACAACCTTTGAGCACCATGTCCGCAAACAGGACGTCCCCAGTAGGTAAAGAAATACTAAAACTCCCTGCCATAGGTGTGGGTCTAACACTGGCATACGGTACAAAAGTACGTGCAATGAACGAATGGGTAGCCCCGGGATCTATCAATACACGTGCAAAATAACCAAAAATAGAGACCATACCAGTGATAACATCCGGTGTAGCCTGAGCCTCCTGCTGGGTCATAGAGAAAACACGGGCCTGAGTAGTAGCACGCCCTGACTGACCCCTCTGACTCCTACCGCCTCGTCCACGGAAAGTGGACTGAACCCCACTACTCGAAGAAGAACCTGCTGCAGAAGAAGATGCCCCACCCCGGGTCTGACCATGTCCTCTACCGCTTTGCCCCTGCTGGGCCCCAGTCACATGTCCCGTAGTAGCACCAACAGTGAGAAGTGGACACTCACTCCTATAGTGCCCAGGCTGTCCACACTGAAAACAGGTAACGCCGCTCCTCTGGGTGGGACCACTAGTCTGCCCACGCAATGGACAATCCCTCCTGAGATTTCCTGTCTGTCCACAGATATAGCAACTCGTACCGGCCACCGACTGCTGTCCTGAATGCTGGCCCCCCACTGGTCGAGCGCTAGACCGACCACGGCTGGAGCTAGATCTCCGTCCACCGGACCAGCTACTACCTGCTGAACTGGAGCTGGATCCTCTCTTTGATGGACCCTGACTCGGTCCACTAATTCCTGACATGTCTCTACTTCGTCTACCAGCAGTCAGTCTGATTGTTCTTTCCACTCTATCAGCAGCTTCAGCCAGTGCCCTCATAGAAGTATGTGGAGTAGCAGTAACCTTACCCTGAATCTCCAACCATAAACCATATTCAAATCGCATACACTTCTCTTCTTCAGTGGCTACCAAGTCCGGTGCAAACCTTGATAACTCATTGAATTTCTGCTCATATTCAAACACGGTCATATTTCCTTGAGTCAATTGCTGAAATTCAATCTTCTTCGCATTCCGGTAAGAATGCGGGTAAAACTGCACGAAGAAGACGCGCTGGAAATCCTCCCAAGTCATATCAGCTCTCCTGACCGTTTTCCACCAATGATACACATTCCCTTTCAGAAGGAAGACAGACAACCGTACCTTGTCTTCCTCTGGACACTGTAAGACATCAAAAATTCTCTCCAAATCAGTAAGCCAAGTGTAACATCCCGACCCAAAATATTATTAAGATTGGTTTTAATTTAATTAAAATTTGGAATTTCCAATTTTGCCCTTGAAGT